CCCACATAGCAGCCAAATCATGGCAAGTTCCTCCTGGTTTAAGTTCTGAGTGGGCTCACCTGCAAGGCCCTTCATGACAACGTTCTTCCCTACATACACCTTTCCCACCTCATCTCCCTGTGCTCTCCCGTGGCTCATATCCCTGCAGCCACACTGGCATTCTAACTGTTTCTCTAATGCACCAGCCCCATCCAGCCTCAGAGCCTTTGCACTGCTTCACCAAGTTTGCATCCTCATCATTTGGATTGCCTTTTAGTTTCACCTGCTTCCAAAGGCATTCCCTGACCATTCTGATGAAAGTAAGCTCCATCCTCTGCACACACTCTATCCTCTCGCCTTGTTTTATCATTGTCATCAAGGCACTCAACACTCTCTGAGATTATCTTGTTTTATTTGTTGTGTTCATTGTCTGGGTCCCCCTCCCCCTGCCCACCCAGCAGGAGGTAAGCAACCCTCCAGAAGAGCCTTTTGCACCCAGGTGTTCATAGCTGTACCTCAGAGCCTAGAACAGTGCCTGGTCCCCTAGTCAGTGCTCAAAAAGTATGTGTCTAATATATTCAAGGGTAGAGGGGACCAAGCAGCATGGAAGGAAGCTGACCCTCCCCAATCGCGCCAGGTTTTGCAGGAGAGGAGATGGCAGGCCATGAACTAGGAAAGACCCACCCCCAAAGGGACTGTTGGTATGGGGCAGGCTGGCCACCTCCTACCAGTCTCTTAGGGATTTGGACCTGCAGGATGCTCGTACCCCTTGTGTCCCCTGTGCCCTCTCATCCCCCTTCTTACCCCACTGTATCCCTTGCCTCTCTGTGCTATTGCAAGCTTTAGGGCCCCTTCATGCCCCTCCATGCCCCCTGAGCCCCTCGGCACCTTCTCACGCCCCTTCATAACTTCCTCATCCCCTCACGCCCCTCTGCGTGCCCAGCCCGGCTGCTACCTTTGGCCCTTGCCACTTGGTTATCTGGGGCTGCAAAGGTGCCAAGCCTGGAAGCACGTTCTGGAGGTGGCAGTTCCAAGGTTTCAGCAGCAGGTTTGCACCCACTTATTGGCACAGCCAGATCTCTAGCCCCAGGAGCCAGGTGGAGGGTTTTTTGTGGCCTCATGAGGATGAAGATATGTTGCAAAACGCAACTGAGCAGGAGTGAGCTGGACTGGGTGGAGGCACCTACCCAAAAGGGATTTTGGTTTAAGGACTGGGCTGGGAATCGCCTCCAGCTCCCTGGTGTGGTCAGGTGGCTGGAAGTGGAGAGGATAGATGACTTTGGCGCCATACAGGCTTAATTTCACATCTCACTTCTGCCATTTACTTTGTTTGGGTATCCTCAGGCAATAATTTCACCTCTCTGAGCCTCAGTTTCCTCATCCGAGAAACTAAAGTGGGCACAATACTATCTTCCTCTCAGGGTTGCTGTGATGATCAAGTGATATAATATGTGGTTCCAGGGGCCCCTCAGTTAACCCGATGAATTAAAGGCGGGGGAAAACAGCTTAATACAGTCCTCTTGCTCCCACATACATGGAAGGAATAAAACAACATCAAGAAAAGAAAGGAGGTTATGTATCTGGCTGTACAAATAGAGAAGTAGTGGAAACCACTGCCTGCCTGTGCCTCCTAATCTGTCCCTGGTGCTGAGGCAGAACTCACTCCCTGCTAGATGCTCTCCCTATGATGCAGGTGAGCATTAAATGGGGGCTCCTGTGACACCTAGATGAACTAGAAGGCACCTCCCCACATGCCCATCCTCCCCTCATCACTACCTCCCCCAGGTGTCTCTCTTTTGTACATCAATATCTTTGAGAGCCTTGCTCTTCATATTGTGGCCAAGGACCAAGAGCACCAGCATCCCCTGGGAGCTTGTTAGAAATACAGAATCCCGTCCCAGACCTACTGAATCAGAATCTGCATTTTAACAAGATCTCCAGAGGATTCAACCCCAGGAGACTCATGTGCACAGTAAAGGTTGAGAAGCTCTTGGTGGAGATTTAGAGCACCTCCATCTGAAATGCATGAGATTCACTACTTCTTAGTTTGATGGTGTTTGATGCTGTCACTAGAAATTTTATCTCAAGCCCCAAGAGTGCATCCACACAACATTAGGAAATTGGTATTTCACTCGTCCTGGGAGAGTATATTCCTGATCTCTACAATATGACCCTGTATTGATGTGCTTTTTTAAACTAAAGCATTTTTATTAAAATACTACAGAATATAGTTTTAATGGTAAACCATATTTAGACCTGTAATAGAAGACTCTTTTCTATGCTTCTCCACTCCCAAGGAAACCACGTTTCATTCTTTTTGTTATTTCTCCTTTTATTTACCTCTATGCTTCTATTGCTATTTCTTTATTTTTCACTTAGATGTTATCTGTGGATTTCCTGCTGCAGAATTAAAGATTTAGCTTTCCTACCACCCTGCCCCATACCGCCTCCCCCCCCCAATACACAAACATACACTTTCCCCTCCTTCTATCCTCCCAAAAGAGCTGAATCCCTGGAGTTAATATTCAGTGCTTATGTTATGACCATGTAAATATTATTGCCCAACTTTTTGTGTTCCCCAGAGTTAGTAATTACTTTGTTTTATCTTCTGCTTGGTTTTACAGGCATCAGTTGCTAATCTAATCCCAAAGCCTCCAACAGAACTGAATATTTATTTTGAACATGTCTAAAAACAGCAGATAATCAACCTCATTTTCTTCTGGAGACATTCCTCCTGGAGCATCTATCTTTTGATTCCAGGCTGGGTTGCTTGCTTTCTTCACTTGGGAGTGCAGCTGACATCCCAGGCTTTTCTCATCATCCCTCTCCAGTGTTTAGCTTCATTTCTGGAATCCCATATTGTCCTTTTTTTTTAGTTTAATTTCTTGTTTTGCTGAAGCACATTCTCTGGTAGCTTCCTAGGAAAGAATGTATGCAAGGTCAGATTTTTGAGAACTTTTATGTGGCTTAAAATGTCTTTATTCTAGCCTCACACGATAATCATTTGGACAGATATACGCTTCTAGGCTGGTAATCATTTTCCCTCAGAATTTTGTGGGCATTGCTTTATTGCTCTAGGAAGAGCCAGAGTGGTCCCAAGGGCCAGTGGCATTGGCTGTATAGGCTCTTGAGCCTATCATCACAAAAGATGCCAAGACCACCAGGCTTGAGTTTTGGATAGGGCCCGCTGGAGGCAGATATGCAGTCTAATTATTGCTCTGTCTCCTCCTCTCCCAGAGGCTGTATGGCCATTGTCCCCTACCTCTCACCCGCATTAGTTTTCCTTCAAAGTATGAAATGTGGGGGCAGGCTCGGTGGCATAGTGGTTAAGTTCGCACACTCTGCTTGGGCTGCCTGGGGTTCACAGGTTCGGAACCTGGGTATGGACCTAGCACCTGCTCGTCAAGCCATGCTGTGGCAGCATCCCACATAAAATAGAGGAAGATTGGCACAGATGTTAGCTCAGTGACAATCTTTTTCAAGCAAAAAGAGGAAGATTGGCAACAGATGTTAGCTCAGGGCCAATCTTCCCCACACACACACAAAAACCAAAGTATGAGATGTGGACAAAGATTAAGTTCTTTCAATTATGATCCATTTCCCTCTTGCCTCTCAAGTCACTAAACTGAGATGTGCTGGAACCTCTGTAAATACCACCCATTTACAGATTATCAGTGGGGAAAGATTTCTTTTCTAGGTGACCAATCCCTTCATCACATGTTCATTTTCCTTAATTTCATCCTCAGAGGGTAACCTTAACCTCCAGTTTGGGGGTTACTATGTTGCAGCCTTCTTACATTCACATCCTCTATGCCATTTCTGGAATCCCAGTATCTGGAACACCTCCGACAAACCATAGTGTTTAGAACACCTAAACCACCCCCTCCTGCCCCACCCCCAGTTAGCAGGTCACAGGGGAGCCCAGCCCCAGAAAGCCTCAGGTTGCTTCCTGGCAGAGCCCGTCTCTGCATTCCAGGGCCAAGTCCTGAAAAATTCCCCATAAAGGCCCACAGACATCATCACCCCATTCTTGGGAGAGAGAAAGATTGAATGACTTGCTCCTGGATGCACAACTCTAGAAACCTACAGAACAAAGCAAGCAGCCCTTCCTCCCTTGGTCAGCTGCCCATGTAGTGATGGGCTTAGAATGCCTTCCTGGCAATTCAGATCCCCATGGGAGGGCCCTACTCCGGAGAATTAGCTAAGGCGAAAGGGTGAGTCTTAGTTCTCAGAAATTGCTGACTTCCTTTTGGCTAAGCCCCACCTAGGCCACCAGCTGCTCATGAGGCTGGAACCAGCAGCAGCCCCCTCCCTTTCCTAGGACCCCACCTGGCAATAGGTCACAATGCCCCAGCTGCCGAGTCCCAGAATGGCTGATCAGAGTGGGAGGAGGTGAGGAGGGCTTGGTGGGTGGGTGTGTGGGGAGGGGGAGATTCCCAAGGAGCCCAATTCCCCGCTCCCTGAGCTCACCCTTGAGTGTCACTCAGGGTCCCACCCCCTACCACACTCCCACCCCTACACCCCACCCCCCCCCAGCACTAGTCCTTCCTGTAACCTCCACCTCCCTCCATGACCCATCTCTACTTGCCCGGGCCTGAAGCCCTTGCTTATCCTATCCCAGTCCATCCTAGGGGCCTTGGTGCTGGGCAGGGGTCAGGTAGTCCAGTGGGTCCATGTGTGTCCCCCTGGGGCCCTAGCCTGGCCCAGCTCCTGGACAATGTCCTAGGGCTAGCAGCACTGGGACTGACAACTCTGGCAGTCTCTTCCACGGCTGGCCCAGCCTTGCTGTTGCTGCTGCTACTGGTCAGCTTCCTGGCCTTCGACCTACTCCACAGGTAAGTGGGCAGTAGCCTGGTAGGTGGGCAGGTGGTCAACCATCTGAAGTCCAGCTGCCACCCTCTCTTTCCACAGGCCTGCAGGTCCCACGCGGTCACAGCATACACTTCTCACAGGGGGCCAGAGTCAGGGGGCCGGCGAGGGTCCAGGACGACAGGAGGCCCTACTTCTGCCAACAATGGCAGTCACAGGACAACTCAGCCTCCTGGAGGCTCTGTTACTGCTGCTTCTGGGCCTGAGGCTGCTCCTGGGAGCTCACGGCATGCCCTTGGCCCTGCTTGGCCTGGCTTTCTGCCTCCATCCTTGGGCCTGAGTGCCCTCCTGAAATACACTGGCCACACTGCTTCCTCAGGCCTCCTTTCCTCCACCCTGGGCTGGGCAGGTAGGAGGGTACCCCTTTATTCCCAGCCTGAACCTTAGGGGACCTCCAGGCCCACAATATGGACAGTGGATGCTTGGGTCTGAGTCTGAGGTCAGTGATAGAATGTGAGATAAAGGATAGGGAGCCCAGGGCAGGGTGTGGTAGCCATCTCAGAGCCTGCTGGTTGGGGATGGCCATTCTGGCCTTCTCTGTAGTTCTAGAGAATGGGCATCCAGAAAGACTTGCAAGAGAACAGAGTGGGACTGGCTATCGGCCATCAGGGAAGGGACAGAAATCCAGAGAAGACTTCTCACAAGAAAGCATGAGAATCTACATCTGTGGGCTTACCAGACTCCCCTGCCAGCCTGGAGGGTCCATGGAGAGGGGCTCAGGTGACCCTCATGCCCTCCAGTGGCTCCTCTCTTGGCTGGACCCCACCCCAGTCCGGGTCACAATGGGGCTCCTCTGGGGAGGGTGGGAGTGAGTGAGAGTAGGGGTTTGCCTCTGGCTGCCAAGCCGTCCTGGGCACTCAGGAAGCAACATGACTTAGGTGGCTCTGCCCAGAGGTAAGACCCAGGCCCCAGCTCAAAGCTTCACCCCACGCACACTGGTTCCCTCCTGATCCCCTCACCCCCACCTGCCCTGAAGTCTCAGGCATCACCAGGACTGCTCCTACAGCTGGCCTGGCTCTCTCCCCAGGTGCACCAGGCATGATGCAGCAGCCGCGAATGGAGACAGATGCCACTGGGGCTGGCGAGGGGCTGCAGCGGGCAGTGCCCTGGTCGGCTTGGGTCACACGGCAGGGCTGGGTGCGCTGGTGCATGTGCCACGTGCCCCAGAGCTGGACCCAGTGGTGGACCACATCGGGCTGGCGGCAACCACTGCAGCGCATGCTGTGGGGTCTGGAGGGGATCCTCTACCTGCTGCTGGCCCTGATGCTGTGCCATGCACTCTTCACTACTGGCTCCCACCTGCTGGGCTCCTTGTGGCCTGTCGCGGCCGCAGTGTGGCGCCATCTGCTGCCAGCTGTCCTCCTGCTGGTGCTCAGTGCCCTCCCTGCCCTGCTCTTCACCGCCTCCTTCCTGCTGCTGTTCTCCACGCTGCTGAGCCTCGTGGGCCTTCTCACCTCCATGTCTCACTCAGGCTACGCTCAGGACTTGGACCAATAGAAGGGCAACCCCATCCCGCTGCCTGTGTCTGTTGAGCCCTGGCCTAGGGCCTGAGGCCCGGAGGGAGAGGGAGGGCAGTGGGACCAGGGCCTTCCTGCTTCAGCAGGCCCCAGACCCCCAATCCTTAGCACTGGTCAGGGCATGTGTGATGTTGCTGGAGCTGGCAGGGTAGCCTGGCCTCTGGGCACGTCCCTAAGTTGATGCTGTAGGCACTTGGTGTAGGGCCTCAAGGGCTTCAAGAAGAGGGGACAGAGCAGAAGGCTTAGCCAGGAACAGAGCTTGGCCAAGCCACCAAGTGCTCCCACATGGGTGTGGCGACACCACTGGGGCCCCCTTAGTGACTGGCAACATCTTCTTCTTGCAGCTGTCCTGCTGTCTCAGCTTCAGACTCGTTGAAAACTACATGGGTACCCCTGGACTTAGCATTCCTCCCACCCCCTCTTTTAACTTCCTGAGGCTCTAGAAAAGGCCCACTGACTGAAACCTAGCTGAGAGAGGGCTGGCCAGAAGCCCTATGAGACCTAAACTAACTAACCCTCAGGCATTTCTGCCCCCCACTCCCTAGACTTCCTACCTCCTGCCTCAGTCCACATCCCAAGTCTGGGAAATGGGCCAAGTAGAGAAGTGAGGGTCCCAGAGAGTACCCACTCTTTAAGACTCCTAAGTTCTGTTATAGAAAAGTGAACAAGACATCCCATTTCACCCACCTACACAATGTGTGGCCCTGGCCAATCAATTCTTTTGAACCTCAGTGTTAAGTGTGCTCCAGCACTGTCATGGGGTTGTTGTGAGTCAAAGGCAATACTAACATGTGAAGTACTTTGTAAAGACCAGAAAACTGTAAGATATTGTATTGAACCCTGAGGACGTTCTGTAGGCTCAAAAGGTCTTTTGACCCCGAAGGCCAGTGAAAGAGCAGGAAGCTTCCCTAGGCCTTCAGAGAAATGCTCTGTATCTGGGGATACAGTTTGGGCTCTACAATGGTAAACAGAGGATGGACGGGAATGGACAAGATGTAAAAGGTCTTGTGCTCTGAAATCTCAAAATGTGCACATGTTGAACTCTTCTGATTGTGAAATGCTTGGGGCTGGGGCTTGGTGCCAAGAGATGCTTGCACAGCTGTGTGAGTGGGGACAGCATAACCCATGGGTTTCTAAAACCAACCCAGCAAGCTGCTCACAGCACCAGAAGGGCCTTGGAAGGTGGCATCTCTTGATGCCCAGGATGCTGGCCATTCCATCTGCTGACCCTCCAAACAAAACAGTGAGTGATCAGTTATTACCAAGTAAGGCACATGACAGACAGCTGTATCCACAGCAAAGACCCGCCCACCTGACCCCCAACCCACTCCTGACCCCCACCCAATTCCTGACCCTCCCCAGTTCCCACCCAGTCCTGACCCCACTGTGTACCTAAAATTCCTACTCCTAAAGCCCTAGACCCAAAGTCCCCCTCGTCTGCTACCTAAATACTCAGGCCCTGGGAACCAGCCCCTAGAACTCGGGTTCATTTTTGCCAAAACCCATTTGCTGTGGAGTTTCATAACCCTGCATGCCACTGGTTAGATGCCTTCAGCATCAGTGACTGAAACCCCAGCACCTCCTTCCTGTTCCCTTGTGGTTCTCCTTGAAATATGGCCTGGTAGTGAGGGCAAAGCAGAACTTGGAGGTGGTATGCCTCATGGTTAGCATGGGCTTTGGTGTATGAGCTGAGGCTGAGTTCGAATCACAGCACTGTCACTTTCTAGCTCCACGGCCTTGGAGGAAATTGCTAAACCTTCCTCAACTTCATTGTCCTTGCAGGTAAAACAAAGGCAAGAACACCTGGCTCCTGTGGGGCTCCTGGGGTGTGGGTGAAGTTCCTGGACCGGCGCCTCACACCACTAACTATAGCTATGCTGTTACTATCCCATTTTAGACATGAGAAGTCAGGCTCGGGGTAGCCTCTTGACAGTGGCAAAGCCGGGTTGTTTGAGTCCTAGTCCACCCTACCAGGCTGCTAACGGGAAAGCGATGGAGGAAATACAACCTAAGCAAAGACCCCATGGCTTCCCAATGCCTGTTCTTAAAGTTCCCGTCAGAGATAAAGCCAGGATGCTAGTGTCGGGTCCATCGTAGACTTAGCCATGCATTGCTGGCCAGGGATATCCCCCCAGAGGCTTGGAGCCATTCTGATTAAGGGGAGAGGAGGTTTTGGCCCAGACCAGATACACCGTGAGGGAGGATGTAGACGGGAGCAAGGAGAAGGTCCTCTTCCCTTCCCCACATAAATATATGCCTTCCACTCTCCTGCTATGCTGGTGTAGGGTAATGTGGTACAGCCAACCTGGAGAACAGATGGGCAATATTTATCAGATTAGATCAACACGTACCCTGTGACATAGCAACCCAAAATGAATTCTCACAGAGGCCCATAAGGGCCTTGCTCCTCAAGGTGTGGTCCCAGGACCAGTAGTGTAGGCATTACCTGGGAGCTGGCTAGAAATGCAGAGTCTCAGGCCCCACCCCAAGCCTGCTGAATCAGAGCCTGCATTTTAGCAAGATTCCCAGGTGATACACGAGGACACTAATGTTTGAGAAGCTCTGCATAAGAGGGGATATGTGTGAGAATGATGATTGCCCTGTTATTGGTGGTGGCAGGAGATGGGAAAGGTAAAACATGGTGCATGAGCACCCCGAGGAGGAGGAGGCAGTTAGAAGGGGCAGAAGCTATATGGGTGGATCTTGAAATCCTAGCATTGAGTGGAAAGAAACTAAGAAATAATACAATTCTTTTTACACAAATTTAAAATACATGTCAGCAAAACAAGACACTTTTTGGCAAGACAAAAAACAGTGGAATGGCCAACTCTAGGGGCGGGCAAATAGGAGTGGAGCATGCAGATAAAAAGGAATAAAGTGAGCGACCTTGCAGAGAGGAAAGAAAAATGATAAGATGAACATAATTCCTGAAATTCCTTTAAATGTAGACAAAGTCCTCCCTTTAGAGTTAAAAGGCCTAAAAATGCAAGACTGGGGACAAAGAACATGCTGGAATGAGGGAGTTCTAAGCTTTTCCGGTGTGGGTCAAGAAGGGAAAGCTGTTTAGTGGCTGAGCCTGTATCTCTGCCGGTCCTCCCCCACCCTACCCCACAGCCTGCTCTGATGAGATGGGGGTGGGGGTGGGGATCCAGTCACCCGTTTGGCCTGGCCAGAAAAATAATCAGATCAAGCTGGAGGTGGGTGGGGTGGCATAAGGAACCGGAGCGGAGGATGTGTCAGCCGCGAGGGCCTTGTGTCAAAGAAAGCAGAGAGGAAATCCGCAGCTGCATACACATATCCTGGGGGCTCCTAGGAGCATTAGCGTCCGGTAGGACTTTCCTCTGCCTCAAGGAACAGGCAGCAACGAGTAGGAACGGCCAGGACGCGAGAGGGCGGTGTCAAGAGGGCTGATGAGGCTGGGGGGCACCACTGGAGACATAGTTGTCAGTGGGCACCCTGGGGGAAGGAGAAGGGTCCCTGGAAGTAGGTGGCTGTGCGGCGCCCGGGGAACCTCTAAGGGCCGGCTGCGGGAAGCCGGGAGGGGGCACTCTCCCCAGACTCGCGTGTGCCGGGGAAAGCGGGAGGCCACGTCCCGCCTGGGGACTGAGGGGAGCGGCTCTGCTCCCTGAGCAGTCCGCGGCCACAGAGGGGAGGGAGGAGACTGGGTCTCGTGGGGAGGAGGAAGCGGCCAGCGCTGCGCGGAGAAGTCGCCCCAGGAGGAGGTGCGGGTTGCGGGCACCGCGCAATCCCCTAGGTTCAGGTGCGCGGGAGGGGGGCCAGGGTGATGGCTGGAGGGCGTCAAGGCGGGCGCGTTGACTGTGGGGGCAGAGCGGGGCGAGCAAAGGCCTGAGGCTGGAAAAGAAATCCCAGACCCAACCGGGGATCGGAGGGCTGTGGGCACCCACACAGGGAAGGTGCTAACCATCTCGGAAGATCGACACCCTCCGGAATCGCAGCTTGCTGACCCGGCGACCGACGGTGCAAGGTGCGTCCCCTGGCGGAGATCTCCAGCTCTGGCCACGAAGAGTCAGGCTTGGCTGGGGTGTGGGAAGAGAGGGAAAGCGGAGAGAGGCACACAAGCGGAGACTCGGCGCTGGGAGCGAGGGTAGAACTTGGGGCCAGGGATGGGCATCTCCGGCCCACCGTCATCACAGTGTCGGCGTCGTTGACTCCTCACCCCTTACCCCAAATCTCCAGCCTGGGTCCCCCAGCCAGAAACCTAGAGGCATCGAGGGCAGAGCTCATGAGAATCCTGGAGAAGGAAGGGCCCAAACTAGCCGGCTTCACGGTGTCTCAGACTCCTGGCCCAGCCCTAGTCTATTATCCCATTCCTCCTGGGATAAAGAGCTGTCTTTGTGAGGTTCTGTCAGGGTCTGAATGCAACCAACTTGGGGCAAGTTATTCCCTCCTGCTGAGCAAACACCTCATCTGTATTCTGGATCTTGCTTCCTTTATGCTGCCTCCTTACCTTTCAAGTATTTTTCCATCTTAAAAATAAAAGAACTTGATTTAAGATCTGTTCCTTCTACCATATTTTCTGGCTTGTATCTTCAAATGTCTAACCAAAGCCCAATTTTTTAAAATATGTGATACTGTACACTTGAAAATATTTTTAACATATATGGAAGTTGTGAAGCCCTCTATCTGAAGGCTACCACATTGATCTAACAGCCAGGCATTATCAGAATAGGGCTCTTTCTGTGTGTTTATCTTCTGACCGTGCAAGCTGGAATTTCCAGACAATGGCATATGGAATTGCTGTTCATAGGCACCTTTGCCTTGAGCCTGATTTAAAAGAAACTGCTGGGCCAGCCTGGTGGTGCAGCGGTTAAGTTCACACCTACTGCTTTGGCAGCCCGGGGCTCACTCGTTCATGATCCTGGGTGTGGACATGGCACCACTTGGCAGGCCATGCTGTGGCAGGCGTCCCACGTATAAAGCAGAGGAAGATGGGCACGGATGTTACCTCAGGGCCAGTCTTCCTCAGCAAAAA